AGGCGTTCACACTCGACATGAAATGCAATAGGCCAAGGTTATGCTGCGGGCCAGCGGGGGTATGAAACTCGAGCACAGCAGGATCACCGGAGAGCCTGTTAAGGCAGGACCGCTGCGCTCCCCACCCGGGTGGGATTCAGCAGCGGTGGTTTGGGGGCGGAGAATTGCATTTGGAACAGGTTCGCAGGGGGTGATGCTGCTGCGCTGGTTCAGGGAATGCACTTGGAGAACACGAAGTATATTTCTCCGATATGCTAACCTTTATCTTGGTTTAACAATTTGTAGGAAATCATTAAAGCTAGTATTTGTGAGGCAGGAGGGCCAGGGCGCCAGGAAAGGCTGAAGGGGCTTCTGGGTTCTCCTTGGTACCAAGAGACCTCTATTTGGTTGCCAAGACGACCGTTAAGGCCTTGCCGCACCATGGCCCTGGGCTGCCTGAGCACTGAGGTGTCCTTGAACCCCCTCCCTGAGCATGTGTGTTGGGGGGGTGGGGGGCAGCAGAGGTGTGTGTGGCTGGCGGCTGAGGTGGGCGGTGACTGCAGTTACCCTGCTGCCACCATGTTTGCAGGTGAGCTCAAGGATAGGGGACAGGCTCTTACAGGAACTGAACCTCCTGCCCCCCAATCTCCAGCCCCTCCACAAGGGGCGTGGCCTCCACCCCAGCTTCAGCAGCCCTCAGGGTTCAGATGCTGACCCCTGCGGCCTTCCCTGGGCCCCGACCTGGTCTCAGCCACATGCAAGGCCGCTGGGGGACTGGAGTGGGTCAGAACCTCCACTTGCCCCAGCTGCTCCCAGACAGATGAGGAAAATGAAGGCCTGCACAGGGTCCCCCAGGCCATAAAGCAAGGACAGGGGGTGCCATCCCTCCAGCCACTTGATCCTGGCAAGGAGAGAGTGGTGGTCAAGGTCTCCTGACGCCTGTCATTGTGTTCCTCTAAGTCCTGAACTGTGTGTCTCTTTCTCAGAGTGGAACCAACAGCTGCCCACACGATTTCTCTGCAGGCCTCGGGGCCTTCCATAGGTGGCTTTACCCCTCCAGGCCTCAACCCAGTGGACCTTGCAACTCTCCTAAAATCACGGGCTCCGGGAGAACTTGAGACTCTATTATCCCCCTCCCCGCACCCTCCCTGTCAGGGAGAGGCTCCACTTGACATTCCTGAGCGGCCATTGGGCCACCGCCAGGAATCGGGCTTAGGCAGGGGGAGGGGAGAACTAGCCAAAAGGCACGGGAGGGTCTGGCCAGCTGGAGCATCTTGGGGGGAGGGTGCCTGCTTGAGGTTGAGCCCCTCCAACCCGTGGCTGGCCCCTGGCCCAGAGCTTCTCCTGGCCGTGAGCTGACACGTCTCTTGTGGGACACACTCGAGTCTCCAGCCCCCATGGAACGAGTAGCCACGGTCAGGGAGCTGAGTGATACTTGTGCAGACCAGCGGGGGCTCGGGCAAGCGGCAAAGGTGTGGCGGTGGCCCAGTTGGGGGGACGTGGGGAAGCTCTGGACCTACCAGAAAGAGCAGTCCTAAAGCCCAGGCATTGTGTGTTCTCAGCAGACGCACAAAGTGGACTCAAGTCAGAGCTTTGCCACTTGGCTTTGAGCTAAAGCTCGCCACACTGTGGGTTTGGTTATTAGGCCCTGGACACGACTCGTTGCCATGTGAGGGGGGCCGGGGGCCACAGAATGACAGAAGAGCTGTCCGACCAGCCACGAAAGTCTCACCCCGGAGGCATCACTCTGGTGCGCAGTAGGGCTCCTCAGGATGTCCAAGGCCAACAAGCATATGAAAAGATGAGGTCAAGGGCATTAAGCATCGAAGAAATGCACATCAAAACCACAGTGAGCTATCACCTCACAGGCAATTATCAAAAAACACCAACGTGACACGTGTTGGCAAGGATGTGGAAACCGGAACCCCTGTGCGCTGTTGGCAGGATCGTAAATTGGTACCACTTCTGCGGAAGACGGTCTGGAGGTTCCTCAGAAAACTGAGGACAGAACGGTGGCATATCACTGAGCGAACCCACCTCTCGGTAAATATCCAAAGGAACTGAAAGCAAGGCCTCAAAGAAATCACTGCTCTCCCGCATCCATGGCAGCATCATTCACATTAGCTGGTAGGTGGGAGCAACCCACATGTCCATCAAGGGATGGAAGGGTAAAGAAAGTGTGGCACGTACAGACGATGGCAGGAAGTTAAGATGGTAAACTGTGCTTTTTACCCTAATGAAATAAATGAAAAAGGGGGGGAGGGGCTGCAAAGGTCACGTGGTCCAATCTTCCCAACTCATGGAGGAGCAAACTGAGGCCCAGACAAGAGCCCCGTGGCCCAGGTACACAGTCCCGGCAGCATCCAATCGAGGCAGGCTTCGTGGACGGTAAAACGTGACACAGCAGAGCAATGTGAACGGCCCGCTGGCGCGGGCTCAGGCTCAATGGCCACCGTTGGAGCTAGCTTTTAAGAGGTGACCACAGATGCCGGGAGCACTTAGAGAGTTGTCTAGAAAATTCACTTAAGAGGAACAACTCCTGTCCGGCTGATGTCAGTTAAACCTCTCCCAACTCCAAGAGCCAAAGCCCTAAGCCCCTCCCTCCACAGGGCCCCGCAGTCACCCCCAGAAGCCTGAAGAGCAGGGGTAGGGGAGCAGCTGTAACCCGGTAAAAAGGTGGGAAACAAGCCTAATGAAAATGCAGCTCTGCCTCTGCCTGAGACTCAGTTTCTACATCTCTGAAAAACAAGGAAGGGCCTCATCCAGCGTCAGGCACAAGGCAGGTGTCTAGTGCAAGGAGTCCTGGGTGCGGGCTCTGGAGCTGGGCTCAGGCATTCCTGTCCTGGGGGCACCCTTGACTATGTGACCTCTCAGTGCCTCAGGAGATTCATCTGCAAAATGGGGAGATAGTCGTACCTCACGGGATTTCTCTGAGGGTTAAGTGCACTGGTTCGTTTAAAGGGCGTGGAGCCAGCCCTGGGGCTGATGTTAGTGCTCAGATATTAGCTACTGTTGGGAGGTCCTGAGGCCAGATTGTGTGTCCCTGGGTCCCTCACAAGCACCCCACCCACTGTTGTTTGCCCACCACAGCCCCACCTTGGCCTGACAGGAAATCCTGTGCTGGGGGCGGGCCGAGCGAGTCTGGGCTGTGGGACCCTCTGCCAGGGCTCTGAAATGTGGCCTGGTGTCTTCTTGGCCCTGGGGGTGGCTCGTCCAGGGGCACAGAAGCTTCAGGGCCCAGACCTTCTTTCTCTTTCTCCCCCAGCTGACCCAGGACTGACCGAGAGGAGGGCAGAAAGAGGCGGGTTTGCAGGAGAGGATGTTGGGATCACCCCGTGAGGAAGTGGGGGAAGGAAGGGGGCATCTGCAAGGCAGGAGACCAAGAGCGAAAAGGCTCCTGGCTGGAGAGGGTGATAGGGTTGGGTGGCCTTGACAGAGTCCTGGCTGGCCCACAGCCGGCCTGAGGCCTCGGGCCAGTAGGGACCCCCTCACCAGCCCCAGTACACACTGACCAGACGCTGCTATGCTCCCACCCTCCCCGGGACCCCCACGGGCCTGGACCCACACCCCTACAGGTGGGCAGGGGATCTGGAATCACAAGATAGCTCCCCAGGTCCACACCTTGCTAAGAATCTAGCGGCCTTATCCCTGCCTGTGCTGCTGGCAGACATCACCAATCGATCCCGCCACTGTCCAGCTCTTGCCAGGCAGCCTCGAACTCTAACTTCCCGTCAGACAGACACAGGGAGACCAGAGGGTGATCTGCCCCAACGAGACAGCGCGAGGGGCAGCCTCAGTACCGCTGCTCTCCCCACAGCAGGCCCCTCAGCAGAAAGCCAGGCTCGGCCCTGATAACCCACAGCCCCACGGACCGCTGGAGAGGCCTCGAGTGGTACTCCCCACAGCAATCCCTTCAGGATTTGGGCCTAATCCCAAGCACGAGGGCGGGCTAGGGAAGGATTTGGTTTCATTCCTTCAGATGCCCAAGCCTTGGCCCGAACCCCAGGGCGCAGGAGTGAAGGCACGTGGCGCCCAGCCTCTACCAACAAAGCCTTCCTTTATTAAATAGAGATCGTGTTACATTCCATTCAAAGGAGGAAATCAGCTGTGGTGAGGGATGTGTTCAGGTTGGACCCCAGTCCCAAGTGGGCTGTGAGGGGTGAGGAGGGGCCTGGGTCCTGCCCATCCTACCCCAGTTCTGTGTGCAGGGCTTGGCGGCCTCAGCCCCCATTGTCTGAATGGCCACCCACAGTTGAACACAGACACGGGTGTCCTGAGGCCTTGTCTGTGTTTTACTTTGGGAGAAAAGTATCCTAATCCTTCCAGCGGTGGTGGGGGCAAGGCCTCCCTGAGCACAGAGCTCAGATGCGGGAGGGGGAAGGTCAAGTGCAAGGAGGAGGGGCCCTGTGATCCACCTTAAGAACAGTTTGGGGGCAGTTCTCAAGCAGATCCAGGTTGGTGTGCAAGTCCTTGACAGCCCCTTGTGGCCCCACCGCCCCGCGGACACTGGAGACGGGGGCCCGCTGGGGGCAGTCTGACAGGGAGGCCACCTGGGAATGGGTGAGGGATGGCCACCAGGGGGTGCTGGTGGCCCAGGGCTTGGGACCAGAGGTTGTGGGGGATACCCTGGAGGTCAGGCCACCCAGCGTGGCCCCTTTCTGAGGACATGGCAGCAACAAGGCACCTGCAAGCAGCAGCTCCCAGGCCCGTAAAGGGGGTGCTGCCCCAGGTACCCCTTCCTAAGGGCTGAGCCCCTGAGTATGGGTCCAAGCTCCTTGGTCTTTGGTGCTTTCTTGAAAGTCCCCTGGTGGCTGTGTGCCAGGGAGAAGTGTCGGCTCACGAGGTCCTGTCCGTCCCGGGACAAAGGTTTGGTACCAGCTCAGCAAGGCGTCCGCAGCCTGGCCATCTGTCCATCTGCTCAGCTTCTGGCTCAGGGCCGGCTCCAGGACCCTGTCTTCCTGTCTGTGCTGGGGCAGGGGTCAGCTGCTGCTGAGAGGCCCCCTCTAGGCCCGGGCCATGCCCTAGGCCTCCTGGGGGAAGAAGCCGAGCTTCGCCAGCGACATCTCCTTCCGCAGCCTCGTGATCTCCCAAAACATCGGCTCCGCTGCAGGCGGAACGAAGGTGGACAGCTCAGGGACAGGGTCACCTCAGGCAGACGGCCGGGCCCCTCTCCCCTGGCTCTGGGCAAGGCAGCTGGTAGGCACCTAGGGCTCCCCCAGCCCCCCAGCACAGATGACCTCAGTGAGTGGCCTGACCTCTTTGAGGCTCCACACTGAGGCCTTGCAAACTGTTGAGTGCTGAACAAACTCTGCACCACCATGCATCGCCCCCACAGCCCAGCACCGACATGCATGAGCACACTGCCACGCATTTGGCGGGCCACAAATGCTTCCCAACCCCATCTCCCTGGGGTCTCAGAGACCCTGAGCCATCAGCAGAGCCACGGGGTCAGTCCAAGTTCCCCTCCAAGGCCAAAGCTTGATGCCCAAGCTGGGGAGGAGAGGCTCAGACATCGAACTGACAAGCTTGGTGGAGCGGGATGCTAGGCCTTGCAGAACAGGGGTAGAGGGGACAACAGGTGGATGGAGGACCTGCTAGGCGGGCAAGGGTAAAGTGGGAGGCGGCAGCTGGTGTCAAATGACCATGAGGAGGCCACCCCCAGTGGGGAAGAGATCCACAAGGGACAACCCATCGTGCAGGGCTTCCAATGCCAGGCCGGTAACAGGGAGCAGTCCCCACAAGCCCCGGGGCCTGGGAGAAGTTTCTGGCTGGGAGAAGGCAGCGGGACCTGGCAAAGCCTGGCAGAGTCTTCCCCTCTGTCCAGGTAACAAAGCGCATAGGTTGACCCCTCCGCTGCGGACCCGCCCGCTCCCTCCCACGGGCCAGCCCCGCCGGCCACCAGGGGGCGCTCACCTTCCTGCCGCACCAGGCCTTGCTGGATGTAGCGGATGTACGTGAAGAAGTTGCACACTGCGGTGATCTGGGGGCAGAAGCGGGGAGGCTGTGACAAGCCAGCCCTCACACTTGGGGTCTCCCCAAAAGCCAGGGCAGATCAGAGACCAGAGTGGGAAACCCCATGTCCCATCAGAGCCAGATAATGCTCCCTCAACTGAACAGGGCTGGGCTCTAAAATTTAATTACCTGGGCGTCTGGGTGGCTCAGTCGGTTAAGCGTCTGCCTTCGGCTCAGGCCATGATCTCAGGGTCCTGGGACCGAGCCCCGAGTCGGGCTCCCCGCTCAATGGGAGAGTCTGCTTCTCCCTCTGCCTCTGCCCCTTCCCCCTACTCCTGCCCTCTCTCTCTCCCCCTCACTAATAAAATCTTTAAAATATATATATAAATAAAATAAAATTTAATTACCAACGGTAGTATTAGTACTACTCCCAATAAAAACAACAGCAGCAACTAACATTTAATCCAGCACATGCATCCAGTGAGGCAGACATGCTTATTATTCCCATTTTACACACGGGGAAAACAGAGACTTCAAGAACAAAGCTACCAGACAACAATTACAGTGCCCACAGAGACAGTAAGTGGCTGAACTGGAAGGTGAACCCAGGCGGCCTGCCCTTGAATCCACGCTCATCCTGAGGGGCCTGCCCGCTCTGCATGCTGGAGGCCCTGGCCAACCAGGCCTTGGCCCAGTGCTCCTGGTAATGCCAGGATAGGCAGGGGGATCAGAAGCTGCTCACCGGGGCTGCCCTGGATCCCCAGGCCTGAAGCCCTCAGCCTGGCCTGAGGCCTGCTCCATGCCCTATGCTGGGCACCGCGGACCCCAAGTTGGCTCAGACGTGGGCCCTTCTACGAAGACTCTCCTACTGCAGAGAGGGTGCTGCTGGTACCCTGCCCAGGCCCCTTCCCCAGGCTGGGGCCCCTCTCCCCATGGCTGAGAGTGTTGGCCACCAAGGGCTCATGGGTGCCCCCTATACCCCCTAGCCCGGCATACCACAGCCAGGGGGGTATGGCTGGGGGCTGGCTGGCATGCGGTGTAAAAAAGGCCAGCTCCCTTGCCTCTGGGTGGAACCCACCCTGGGCTCCAGAGCCCCCATGGATCAGGTTGCAGCCAGACTCCAGCTGAGGCTACACCCCCCCATTCTGCTTTCCTCAGTCCTCCTAAGAATGGCATAAAATCCTCATCTGAGGCTCAGCTTTTAGGGAACCCAGCCACAGACAGGGCAGAAGGTGGCCAGCAGCCGTGCCCCAAAAGCACCTACTCAATGTCCAGCGCCCCGGGGGGAGGGACGCTAAGTGTGTGGGGGCCCACAGGGTCCAGAGTTCCGGCGGGGGGGCCCTCAAACACATAGGAATCCTTGCCAGCCAGGAGGACAAAGTGGGTGCAAGGGGGTGGTGGCCCGGGCAAGCGTGAGAGAGGGGTGCCCCAGAGGGGACTAAGCCGGTGTGGCTCAGGAGGGGCTGTGATGAGGTGGCCAGTGGGCCCCCATGGGAGGCTGGCAAGCAAGGAGAGGCAGGGAGCAGTGGGGTTCCCTCCCCAGGGCTGTCCTTTGGGGACGGAAACCTCTTCTCCCTATGGATGCCACATTCCTTGGTCTCTTCAGGGTGGGGACCCCCTCCTAAAGCTTCACACCATTCTCGTCTCCCACCCCAGCTCTGCCCAACGCAGAGACATGCAGGCCTTTGGAAGAAACAAAGTGCTACGGTGTTTTTTTAGTTTTTATATCTATCGATACGGTTTTGCTGGGCACAGAATGTGAGGCTCCTTCTGTTGAGCCCTGGTGGGGATCAGAAAAAGGCCCCTGGAGAGGGCTCTGGACACAGAGGCACGGGGCAGAGGCTGCAGGAAGGCTCAGAATGGGGACGCCCCAGGTCCAGGTCACACCCCCCCTTTCTAAGGCACAGACTCTCCATCTGCAAATGGAGCTCAGCTCGCTGCTGTGGGATGTTTCGGGACAATACACTGGACACCCTGTGGAAGCTTGTCGGAACCAGACAAGCTGCCTAGCAGCGGGGCCATCTGTCCACCTTAATCTCTATGAGCAGCCTCTAGTAGGTCAAGGGCAGGAGGAGATGGTTCCTACAAAAGGGCCCAATTAGCAGTGTGCACCAAGCTTCAGAATCTTCTAACGCATTTTCTTTGGTTCCTTACAATCCTATGCACAGTCTGTGAGGGGACAGAGGAACGGGGACCACCCCGCCCTTATCCCCCAGCTTGGGGAGGTCCACTGCCCCAGCCTGGGCCACTCGGCAGCTGAGGATGCAAGCTGGGATTCCCGGAGGCCTCGTGGCATCCACCACTACCGTCAGGCCTCAGACCCTTCTCAAAAGCCTGGGGCCAGAGCCTGAGCTGAGAGGCAGGAGCCTGGAATTTTAACCTGAATTCTAATGTCACTCCCATGATTAGGTTTCGGCAAGCAAACAGGTACCTCGGTCCTTCACGCCCCTGCCATCCCCCTCCCCCGCCCGGAGGGACTGAGTCCTGCCAACAGCCGTGTGAGCTCAGAAGAGGACCACTATCTCCAGAAAGCAGGCCGTCAGCCTACTCCTTGACTGCAGTTCCTGAGCCCCTGAGCAGAAGATCCAGCTAAGCTGTGCCCACTCCTGCCCCAGGGAGAGCATGATAAATGGGGCTTGTTTTAAGCCACTAAGTTTATGGTAATTGGTTCTGCAGTAATGACAAACTAATTCACCAGGCTTGGCTGTGTGGCCTGAGTCAGTCTCCGTACCTCTCTGAGCCTGTGCCCTGTTCTGCAGATCAAGGTTGAGCTCCTAGGCTGGCCTCGGGTCCCAGCCCAGGCGGCCCCTAAGAAGCCCAGTGACCCTCCCGCTGGATGACTCACCCTGGCCCGGGAGGACGGCGAGATGTAGTAGTGGCTCTCAGAGTCCCCAAGCCGGATTCGGTGGTGACAGGCACGAGCCAGCCCGCTCAGGGCACAGGTACTAGAGGAAGGCAGAGGGGGCCGTGGGGGCTGGCGGGGGCTTGCCCACCCAGCTCATGCGGGGAGGATGCAGCAGGCAGAAGGATACACCGTAGGAGGGAGAGGCAAGCGGACTTGGGGGTGGGGCCTGGCATCCTCTCCCTCAACTCCACCTTCCCCAGGAGCCGGGGGCCAGGCCAAGGAGAGATCCCAGTCCCTGGGACAGACCTTTGACCTAAGCTGGATCTCACCCCTAAACCCCTCACCTTGGCCCTAATGGCCAGCAGAGCCCAGTGCATCTCATGCCAGGTATCTTATCAAAGCTCCCCTCTCTGCAGCCCCTAAAAACGTACCCCCTACTTTACCGGGGCTCTCAGGCTCAGTCACGCCTTCCCCAACTAAACAGGAGTCCACTCTCTCCTCCACTTGGTCACCGAGTCCTCAGGCTAGGTCATGCCAGCAGGGCCTCTTGCTTGAATCCCCTTAGCTCTTCCAACTAGCCCTCTGCCTCATGTCTCCCCTTCTCCACAGTATAGCCAGGGGCTCCTCCAAAAGCCCACACGGAGCCCATCATCTTTCCCTGCTGGTTTCCTATTGCCCAGGAAACCATTATGGAGACTCTGGAGCAGAGGAAGGTTAAGTAGGCTCCTGGGTTGCAGGACTTATCAGTGCCTTTGCTGCCTCCAGGTTCACTGTGACTCTGATTGGACTTGGCAACCCTCTTTTTAGGAAACATCTCTTGATGATTTGGCCTAGTGGGTCAAAGCCCAAACCTCATTCAAGACCCTTTACACTCTGGCCCCAAACATCCTCTGTGGCCTCAGCCCTATCTCCCTAACCACCCCTACCGCTCTGCCCACAAACCCAGTGATGTTTCCATTAATCTCCCGGCTTCTCATACCTTCACTCATTTTGTTCCCTCTGCCTGAAAGGCCCTTCCCTACTTGGCAAACTGCTATTCATCCTTCAAAACCTGGCTCAAATGTGCCCCTCTGTGCCAAGGCTCCCCCCGTGGGGCTTCCCTGGCAGGTCAAATCCTGGGCTGCCGAGGGAAAGTGCTCCCCACCTCTGCCCCTTGTTCCACCCTGGCTATCTGGTTCTGCTGCGAGCCCTGCTCGATGGCAGCTGAGTCGCAGGGACAAGATGCCAGGGCTGATTGGTTATTTATTAGCACAAGGACAGCCAACAGCTGACATCACTTACATGTCAGTTGGGGCCCAGAACCCATTGTGGGAGAGAGGATGGGGGTGGGAGAGGGCTACCCGGCAGGCCAACCAGGAAGAGGGAGACTCCGGCTCCCAGACTCCTGGTAGGGCCTGGGGATCTATGACTAGAGGCAGGAATTTGTGCCAAAGATGCCTCCTTGCCCTGCCTGATGTCAGCCACTGCACCTCTGCACCCCTCCCCAGCCAGGCCTGTGTGCCCCACTCCCGCCCCCTGCTTGGGTCCCGGGTCCCTGGGTACTGCCTGGACAGAGTGCGGGGCTAGGGGTGGCTTTCCCAAGCGGGCAGCAAAGGATGAAGGGCGCTAAGCTTACTTGGTGCTGCCACACTCAACTGTGGCCACCTTCACGGTGGGCAGCGACTGCGAAGCCACCGGCTCAATGGTGAGCGTGTTGTCCTCCACCGCAGCCCGGACCAGTGCTGAGAGCTGCGACAAAGCAGGGCGGTAGGCCGGGGCAGTGAGGGGCTGGCCTCCGGCTGAGGGGCTGTGCCCCGGGGCCGGCTGCCCTCTGCCCCGCCTCACCTCCTGCATGGTGAAGTCCAGACAGGGGCCCACGTCCTCCCGGTACACCCTTTCAAGGAAGGGGCAGGTCTTGTCCAGGGTGGGCGATTCTCGCCAGGCCTGGAACTCTGCGAACAGGGTTGTGTCCACCTGTAGGGGAGGGTGAGCTGGATGGAGTGGTCAAGGCGCCAGGGGCGGCAGTGGGGGGAGCTGAAGATGGTGGGGAGCCAGGGAGGTTGTGGGGCAGGCCCAAGCCTGCCAGCGGGTCTGTCCCCAGTGGCTGAGCAGGGGACAGAGCTCCAAGGAAGAACCGCCTCCTTCCCTTTCTACCAAGGGCCTCAGAACTCAAACTTTCATAGCCAGGTGTGCTTTTAGCTTCCCGGCTCTACAAGGTTGCAGACTTGGGTCCAGGGTCTCGTCCTGAAGCCCCTCTCTGCCTCCTGGAGGAAGAAAAGCTGAAGATGGGCCCTGCAGGTACCCACCCCCCCCACCACCACACACACAGACATGCACACGGAGGGAACACACACGGGGCTGCCTACTCGGGAGAGACGACTGGCTGGCCGCCCTGGGGCACATGCAGTGTGAGTGAGGCTGGGCGGGGGCAGAGGGGCGGCCCCTCTCCCCAACCATTACCTGTCGGGAAAAGGAGAAAGAGGTAGCGGAGGTGGGGGCCGTGAGCGGCTCCCCAGACAGGAGCTGCCAGGCCGGCTCGTAGGTGAGGTGAACAGCTTTGCTGGGGACCACACAGAGGAGCAGGGAGAGGAGGGGGGGCAGCCCAGGCTGGGGGGTGGGGCGGGGCAGACAGACAGATGACAGGTGCACAGAGACAGGAGGAAGGAGATGTTAGTCTTCGGTCAGAAGCTGAGAACTCGGAAGTAGGGGGTGAGGCCTGGCCTGCGTCCCCTCTCTGGAAGCCCCAGAGACACAGGGCAGGATGGAGCTGGGGGCTCAGAGACCACAGGACCCCGAGTCCCATGTAGCCCTTGTAGGGCTCGCTGGGTGCGGCCCTAAGCTGAGCTTCTGACACCCAGGTCTTATCAGTCCCCATGGGCAGTGGAGGGCCCTTCTTGTATGAGGAAGCTGAGGCTCTGGCAGGCGCCTTCTCTTGCCCAAGGACCCACGGTCAAGGATATCACAGCCCACTGCCCAGCCTGGACCAAATACCCTATATACCCAAGGTGGGGGGGAGGGAGACAGCCCCCAAAGGCTCTGCGTGTCTACGTACCAAGGCAGAAGGCGCTGAGGACCCTCGAATCCAGGGATGTCACGAGCTGGTCCTGGACCTCAGGGCTGCAGGCATGCAGGGCCCAAGCAGCCTGTCCCCAGAGGCCCGGCAGTAGCCTCCTTAGGCCCAGGGAAGGTGTCTTCCTGAAGAACTCCCCCATCCCCCCCACCCAGGCCAGGCCCTCAGGCCCCAGGCCAGCCTCAGGTGCCAGAATACCACCTACTGCTTGGAGGGGCGCAGAGGGGCCACCAGGCCCTCATGGGACCCATGAGGTGTACACAGGGTACACGCAGAGGCTGAGGGCCAAACCTCATTATCACAAAAAGGCTGCCCAGCCCTCCCAGAGGATACAGAGGCCCGGGGATGGCAGGCCAGGCTCCAGGTCACATTGCGAGGTGTTAGGCCTCCCCACTGGGCCCCACTGCCTGGACGATGCTGGACATCGTCTCCCTTTCCCGTGCCCACTGCCTACCCGCCACCCCTCACCTCTTTGCCCTCCTTGTCCGGGGTGAGGGTATGTCCAGCCGCGGGGCACACCGCGGGGCAGAGGGTGCTGCTGGTGCTCTTATGACGCAAGTGGCCCTTGCGGGGTCCGGCCTTGGTGGGGCTCAGCAGCTGTGGGTGGAGCTCACGGTTGGGAGAGGCTGGTGTGGATGTGAGGACCAGTGTCTTCAAGGCGCTCACCTCTGCCTGCAGCATGTCGATCTGGCCGGGAGGAGGTGGCCATCAACCTCAATCCAAGGCTAACGTTGCCGTGGCTGTCAACTGCCGGCCACCCCAGCTCAGGACAGCCCGTCCCGGTGGTGACTGGTACCTAACCCCCCCCCCCACTACCCCTGGAACAGCCTTTGAGGTGGGGACTGAGACACCCATTTTACAGATGGGGAAACTGAGGCTCAGAGCGGCCCCATGGCCTGCCTGGCGTCACACCGTACACCGAGCTCTGTTAGATGCACCTGTCTGGGAGCTGGCCGGGCCTCACCTTGCCCCGCGCCTCCTTCAGCTGTTTTTCCGACGCTGCCTGCTTCATGTTGGCTTCCCGCACCATCTTGTGGGCTTCCTGGGGAGAAGGCAGGCTCTGCATGAGCGGTGAGGAGCCAGCGCGGCCCCAGCGGACCCACTGCCCAGCCGGTCCCCCAGCTGGCCGGCCCTGGTACCTCGAACAGGCTGGCCGTCAGCTCCTCTAGCTCCCGTTCTAGCTGCTCCCGCACCTTGGACAGCCGCTCACACTCCTCGTCCTTCAGCTTCAGCTCCTGGAGGGTTCCACGGGGGCCGCTGTCAGCCCCACGGGGCCCCAGGCCTGGCACGGGGGCCGGGGCGGGGGCACCGGGCCCACTGATGGGGCTCCACTGCCGGGGCCCTCTTCCGCGGGCCTCTGAGCCCCCACCACCCTTCCTCTGTCGCCCTACGGTTTAGGATGCATTTCCCACTTAGCGTGTATAGCATGATGTCGAAACCCCAACTGTCAGCCTATTAGAGCTTAGAACGGGCGTTCAGAGAAGTCAAGACTTCTAAAAATCCTTCCAAAGTCATAAGAACTGGTTTCTCCTCTGTGCTTCCCTTGCGCCCAGCCCGGGCCTCCGTGCAGGTGCTGGGGGAGAGCCCACAGCGCCTCCAGGTGGGTCCCTTATCCCTGCTGTCCCCCCCCAACCCGCCTCCCTCCAAGCCCCCACCTTCTGGGCTTTGTGCAGCTCCTCCTTCAGGAACTCTGAGCCCTTCTCCCGGATCTCCATGGAAGAGCTTCGCAGGCGCAACACATCCAGTTGGGCGGCTGCAGGGCCCTCCTCCCCTCCAGGGGTCTCCGCCAGGCCTCTTGGGGACTCCCTGTGGCTTTTGCAGGGGCCCACACTCTTCCAGGGGACCGGGACAGCTTCGAGGGGCGGCGGGTCGCCCTCGTCTGGGTGGGGCTGGCTGCGGGGCAAACAGCAAATCCAGGGTGGGGTCCCGAGACCCAGATCTGAGCTGAGGGACCCACCCTGGGCCACATGCCTGCCACTCTGGGCCTGGTCGGGGCCCATCTGCAAGACAGGGACACTACCCGTGAGGCTATCACTGGGTTGTCCCAAGGGCAGAAGGACCAAACACGGGGTCTCCTGGGGGCCAGGACAGGACACATTCATCTTTGTCAGCCACCCTCTCCAGCCCAGGGCCTGGGGCTGGGCTTGGCACACAGTAGGTGCTCAGTTTGGGTTTGTCCAGCAGGTGACTGTAAACACGTCAGTGCTGAGAATCTGAGTCTCCATTTCTACAAAGCGGGGACATCCCCTTGGCCCTACCTCTAGGGTCACCAAATGGATGTGACGTACATAAAACCTTGGCACACAGGGGGCACCTGGGTGGCTCAGATGGTTGAGCATCTGCCTTCGACTCAGATCATGATCCCGGGGTCCTGGGATCAAGCCGTGCATGGGGCTCCTGCTCAGCAGGGAGTCTGCTCCTCCCTCTGACCCTCTTCCCTCTCGTGCTCTCTCTCATTCTCTCTCTCTCAAATAAATAAATAAAATCTTAAAAAAAAAAAAACAGCAAAAACCTTTGCACACAGCAAGTACTTAAATGGGAACTGCCTTCTAGGCTACTGTTAATGCAAATGTTATGCAAATTAAAACCCACTTAGGGTGGGCAGGAGAGGGAGGACCCAGCCAGGGCCCCACAGAGCTGAGGCAGGAAGATTCTGCCAAACAGCCCGGGCAGGGCAGACTGTCTTCCTGCTCCCTGAGCCTTGTGGGGAGCAGTCCCAGCTCTCCGCTGGTCTGCCCTGTGACCTCAGGCAAACACCCCTCTGTGGGCCTCAGGACCCTTCTCTCCCTGAAGTTGAAGACCCTAGAGGTAGTGCCGCGGCCAGCAGCCTCCGTTCCCCACCTCGCCCCACCCAGCACTGTCCATCCACACCCCCCACTTTGCAAGAGACCCTGCGGAGGGAGGGAGGCAGGAAGGGAGAAGGCTCGGCGGCCAGCAGTGGTTTGTGCCAAGACAGCACCTCTGGACTCGCTCACTCAGCAAAAGCTGGTGCTCCTGAGCCAGCAGCTTCGGAGCCGCGGTGGCTGGGCTGAGGGTGACGGGCTGGGCCTGGCCGCTGATAACGGTGGGGAAGTGGAGGGGAGGGGGCTCCAAGGGGCCCACACAGGAGGGAGGAAAGACAAGGCCAAGGGGTCACGGGACTCAGGCTTACTGAGGGGAAAGTGTGAAAGGCAAGACTGGGGATCAGTCCCTCCTCCCTGTCATCTGGACCCTGAGACGGTCACCAAGCAGCCTCTGAGCCTCGGATCCCCCCCACCCCCGCCAGGTAACACAAAGCGACTGGGTACCCGGGGAAGCCCAGCAATAAGCCCATTCCCAACCCTTCACATGGCCCTGTCCCTGCGCCCAGCCCAGCCTGCCCTCTGCTTTGGAAATGGCCCAGAGTGGGCCTCATAGGTCCTTGGCTGGGTCCTGCCTGGCAGGGACCCAGGGCTCTGATAGACGAAGTGGGAAAACACATCTGTCACTCCATCAGCAGTGATTATGCCAGACAGGGATCCTTCCTAATACCTTTGAGGGTGGGGGTCATTGGCAAGGGGTCCCTGAGGTGTGAGCAGAGGCTGTGGCAGTGCCACGGCAGCCCTGGGCTGGGGTCTGCACCCAGGGGCCTCACACCGGCCAGATGCCACCTGGGCTGCCCTGTGCATGTTCTCTCATTTATAGCTTTCAACAGCATTCGTGAGACTGTCTCCGTCCTACAGATGAGGGACGGGGGTCTCAGAGGAGGGCAGAACTTGCCCAGGCCCACACGGCTGCTCGCTGGGTGGCAGTGCTGCGTGGGCAGCCAGGGCTTGGGTCCAGGCCTGAAGCGCCCCCCTTCCGGCCAGTAAGTGGGGGTGTGAGTGTGGAAATCAGTGCATCTGCTTCAGGATCGAGGGCTGCGAGGCCCTGGGGAGACTCCTCCAGGCCGACTGGGGAGACTCCTTCTTGGCTGCGGCAGGGAAATCGGACACAATTCTGGCCCGACTGACTTCTCAGCTTCTGCTCGGGCCCCGGAAACTGCCTCCCAGGAGGGCAGGCCGGGGCTGGGGGAGCTGTGGCTGAGAGCAGAGGCCAGAATCAGGCCAGGCCAGGGTCCACGCCAGGCTCCGAGCTGGGGTATGCACCAGCCCCTGAGAATGTCACTACAGTTCTCTGAAGCTGCTTCCCACCTCTGGGATGGGGGTAAAACCCTGGAGGAGGTGTACTAAGAACCAGGTGAAGAAGTCACGGGATACAGCACCAGGTAAAGACCGTGCCGTCTGCGGCCACATTGGCAAACACCCGCACTGCCTGCCCAGGCTCTGGGTCCCACAGCCCAAACCACAGGCCTCAGGGAGGTCTTCTGGCTGACAGTCTGGAGGCTTGGGGCCCAGGGCCATTTCCTCAGGTGAGAAGGGATGGTCCTTTTCACTCAGGCTTGACAGGGGCAACAGACCCCAACTCAGGGGCTGCACGCCTCAAGAGGATGAGCAAGAGCTGTGGGCCAAGGAGGGAGGTGACCAGCAGGGACGGCATGGGACACAGGGCAGGATCCCAGGTTTTAGACACCCGGCACCGGGGGTCTTTTCCTCTGTAAGGACCACCCCAGACATCACCCACGCCCTGCCGAGGAGAAAAAGACTTCCAGCCCCTCCCACGAGGGCCACCAGTGTGGTCACTAATTCTCCCGTTGGTCCCAAGGGCATGGGCTGGGGTTACGGCTGGACTGTCCCCCATCATTTTCCCAACAGGCTCTCACTTCAGCCCACTGCTGGGAAGGATGGGGCCCAATTCTGCAGCCAGAGGAAACGGTGGCCCTTCACGTCCCCCCGCCCCCTCCAGTGTAAAAGCCCAACTCAGAAACCCTGTGGCAGAAAGTGTGGGAAGAGCAGGGCCGCCTGGTAGTTACCAACTGCCCAACACCTGGGCCAGGGGTTCAGGAAAGACGGGGTCTCCCTGTCCTGGGAGAGAAGCTTGAATCTGCAGGTCCTCCCCTCACACTTCAGGGCTGTGAGGCAACTCAGAAATTTCAGAGGAAGGAGGGACGCAAGGGACCCCAGACCCCATAGGTCCAGCCCCAGCCAGAATCCTCTATCTTCACACACTTCAGCATCCCAGACCAGGAGCTGGAAAGCCTGGATGTGAATGCCCATGGGGCTGGGGAACTCACTCCTTGGACAAGCATGGGCTACCATTTAAGTTCTTCTGCACCACACCCCCTCCCTGCCCCTCAGTCCAGGTCCAAGGCCCTCAGCTTAAACCCTCTCAGCCCCCATTCCCTGCAGAAACAGAGTCCAGAGCACAGGGAAGGCCTGTAGCAGGACCCAGGGCCACTGGGAAGAGGTTAGAGGCAGGAGACAGTAAGAGTCAACGTCAGAGGAAAGTGGGAGCATCCGACATCCCCCATCCTGAAGCCGGCTTCGCTGTCTAGAGCCCACGACAGTTTAGACAGGAAAGGCCCCACTGGCTCACTTCCTCAGGAAACACACGGGGTGGTGGGGGGAGAGCAGAAACCGCAATGCTCACCCCCCAGTCCTGTCCTAGGAGGGCCAGCAGGGCTTTTGTCCCCATCCATAAAAAAATGGCAAAATAAGAATGAGGACCCGTGGATTCTATGGTCCCCAGTCACCCAGCAACCCCCACTGGGCCGCAAGGGCCCGACCAGGATCCATACTCTTCCCATTTCCAGCCCAACCCGCCTGCCTTGAGGTCGCTCTGCCCTTCGATCTCTCCCCGTCCATTGCCCAGGTCACCTCTTTGAACTAAAGATCCCGGTGCTAAGGGGCACGATGGGATCCTTAGAGAAGATGGAAGGAACTAGTTAGGGAAGCTCTGAAACAGGGGGAAGGAGAGGCGGGGAGAGCACGCTGGGAGCGCTCACCCTCTGCCCGGGGGGCCAACGGGGTGGCTGCAGCCGATCTGGTCTGCAGGGCAGTGCCACACACAAGGGCCCTGTTCAGACTCATGCCCCTGCACCCACAGGCCTTCTGGTAAGCCAGGAGAGCATGGAGGCTGATGGCCAAGTGACTCCTCCCATCCAGGGGCCCTGGGGGCCCCAGGAGAGGTTTCCCACATCGGCTCCCCGCCGGGCCTGCAAGCCCAGCCAGGCGAAGCTGACAGAGCGGTCACGGCGCCAGCTCCAAACCCTCAGGATGCCGCTGCAGGGAGATACGCTCCCCAGCCTGGTCGGCACAAGGAGGCGCCTGGTGTTCAGAGAGGGCTGGCGACCTGACCAGAACACACAGCAAAGTGGTGGCAGGGTGGGAACAGAACCCAGAGTCCCAGCTCTATCGCATCGTGTGACCTGTCACCCAGAGAAATCCAGACGGGAGGCAAGGGGATGAATGGTGGTTTTGGAGAAGTGAGGCAGGATGCAGATGGGGTTTGAGGAAGTTGGAGCCAAGTGCCTGAGGGGGTGGCGGGGATGGTGGGGCTTCCATCCAAGGCTGTTGCATAAGCCAGGCAGGTCCTGGCCTCGGAAGGGATGTGCAGAGGGGACAGACACAAGACTCTGAAGGGGGAATTGTGGCAGGAACCGGGGGCTAGAGAGGGTGACAGAGGAGGAAAAAAAAAAAAAAGGCAACAAAACTACAGTAATTAACTAACATAACGAAATGGCGCCCACGATGGGAATAAGGAACTGGGAGGGGGTCTGTCGGGGAAGAGAAAGAGGGTCGCTGAGGTGTCTGGGCAGCGGCATGTCCTATATGGGTCTACAAGTGGCTGAGGGGAGGTACCGGGCCAGAGGGAGCGGCTGCAGGCTGAGCGTGCTCTGGGGGAGGGGCAACAGAGGAGTCCAGCACCACAGAGCCAGCCTGGAGGTCTGAGGAGCAGCCATCACCAGGGTTGGAAGGGAGGGTTCCAGTATGGGGCAACGGTGTCATAGATGTCACACATGGGAACAGAGTATCAGGCATGCGAGCCGAGCAGGACCCTGGGGGGAGGGGGGTTGGAAGCAGATGACTCTGGACCACTCCAGCAAGGGGCACGCAGGTGTGTGCCTTGTAGAACATGGAGCAGGGGCCGGAGAAGGTCAGGAACAGCCGTAGGAGGCAGGACGGAAGGCAGGGAGGTTGGAACACCTGAATCAGGTGGATTGGGCCAAGCAAGCCTCTCTCCTCACCATAGCCCCAGGGCCGCCAGTCCAGCCCAGCCCTGCCAGGGAATCCAGCCCTGCGTCTCCTCTGGGAGCCTGCACAAGGCCCGGGACGGTGGGGGCTCACTCTGTGCTGGGCGCACAGCACCTGCCTCACATCCGCCTGCTCAGTCCTAGAAGGATCTGACACCTCGAAAAGCCAACACATACAGAGTGAGCACCTATCATGTGCTACGCACCCCATCAGCCCCAATCCACCCAATCTGCATGACCGCACAGATTTTGGCAGCAACATCCCTGAGCTCCCTTCTGACCACATTCTAATTCATTCTGCTCCCCGTCCCCCACCACCCTATTGGGCACAAATCTTGGGCAGACTCGGGGAGAGTCTACAACAAGCAGGATTCTAATGAGTCTGAGCTCCTCACACATGTGCAGAGTAAGGAACAGCAGGAGGTATATATATCTCCACCCGCTGAGGGGGCAGGGTAGGTAGTTAGATCAAGGAAGGCTTCCAAAAAGCAGCAGCTGGGAAAGGTGCACAACCACTTCCCAGGCAGGAGGCCCACCTTTCTTCCATATTTTAGATGAAGTCTGAGCCTACAGACCCCTATGACTTAGGCCCAACAGGCAGGAGCTTGCAAATCCAAGCCCCTTCCGGTAATTAAAACCCAGAGCAGTTAGGTGACCCGCTCAAGATCACACAGCCCGTCTGCAGCCCTGGGGCTCCCCAGCATCTTGCTTGTTCCAAAGACACAGTCCTCCATCCCTGGGAGGGTGGGGGAACCTCATTTCATTCCTGAGCAGTCCATCAGAGCCTGGCCCTCCCTAGAAATAGGTAATATTAGCCCCATCTATCAGACAGGGAAACTGAGACCAGGGAAGAAAACTCACCCAGAACTCAATTCCTGGCCTTTGCTGACCAAGCCCCAAGTGCCCAGCATGGTGTCAGTTGCAGATACCCGAGATGCCACCATCACCCCATCTCAGAGCAAGCTTGGCACCCAAGACTATGGACGTGAGAAACTATGGGGGATGGGGAGGGGAGCATCCCAATTTTGGGGGAACTGCCTCTGGGTCCAGAGTTCAGGGCTCCTGCTCAAGGAGTCCCAAGGAAGAGTGCCCACCTGAGCTCCTGCAGAGTCCTGCCACTGCCACCCACCCCCAGGGGAGCAGCCCTGGGGCCAGGGCCAAGGGGGTGAACTGGCACCAGGGCCTAGCCATTAACCGCAACCATCCCTCACCTACAGATGAGGAAAGAAACCCCAGACACACTGACAACTTAGCCAGGGCCACTGATCCCAGAGTCTTCATACTCTAGAATAAAGGGCCCAAATATACACCTACCCAGACTGTCCTGAGCCCCTGGGGGCCGCAAGGCCAAGCAGCTCAGTTAGACTTACATGGACAAGTGTGCCCCAAGCAGGGTCCCTTCTGGCTCCTGCTGGAGTCTGGGTGAACTCCTAGGACACCAGGCCCCCAGTGGATTCTGGCAGCTTGGCCCCTGATCTTTCAATCCCTGCCTCTAATACCCGAGTTGGGGGATCCATAAAAATGCAGTGCCCAAGGTAACCCCCAAACTCTGCCTCTCACTCCCAGGTGTCCAGCTCCCCCTTCTGTCCCTCACGCTTTCCATCTGCATTTATAAAGCACCTGCTAGGTGCTCTGTACCTGGCTAGGCCCTGGGGTTAGGCTAGGCCTTGGGGGTCTAAATGTACATGCAAGAAGTGAGTTATAGGGCACCTGGGTGGCTCAGTTGGTTAAGCGTCTGTCTTCGGCTCAGGTCATGGTCCCAGGATCATAGGATCGAGCCCTGGCATCAGCATGGAGTTCCCTGCCCAGCGGGGAGTCTGCTTAGCTCCCTGCCCAGTGGGGAGTCTGCTTCTCTCTCTCCCTCTATTCTCTGCTTATGCTCTCTCTCTCTCTCTCTTAAATGAATTCTTTCTTGAAAGAAAGAGAGAGAGAGAAGGAAGGAAGGAAGGAAAGAAAGAAAGAGAGAGAGAGAAAGAAAGAAAGAGAAGGAAGGAAAGAAAGAAAGAGAAAGAAAGAGTTATACTGAGGATCATGTAGGGGTCAGCTTGGCAGCCTGGTTTATCCAGAAGCCTCTTGGGAATATGGCAGGGAGGCTGGACTGGGGGGTGGGGGGTCTTCTCCAGGACCCTGAGTCTTTTTGACACTGTCCTTAAAGAGAGCATCTATCTACTGATGGCTCCCAGCCCTGTCTGGCTCTGGCCTAGATGCCTCCAGGGAAGGGCACTCTGGGCATGGATCAGTCTGCAGCTCTCCACCCCACAACCTGCTCATTTTGCCCAGAGACCCAGAGAAATGAGGCCATACTCTCAAGATCATATAGTAACTCAATGACTGTTTTGCCTGGGTGCCCCCAACATATGGGGTAACAAGCTTCTTCCAGACTGGGATGCCTCTTAAACACAGCCCCAGGCAGGATTGTGCTAACCCCACCAGGTCCCACACAACACTTTCTCCCTGAACTCATTCATCTTCAGGGGTGGGGGTGGGGGGTGGAGGAGGGTACTTTTCCAAAGAACACGTGCTCTGCTTCACCTTTCCACCCTTTAAGAGGCATGCCTCTCCACACCTAACCCCTACCAGGAGCCCCTTCTCTCAGCACCCCCTGCTGGGGACAAAGCCCCACTACTCCCTAGCATCTCAGCCCAAGCTTTGCTAGGAGCCATGGAGTCAAGTGGACCCAGCCTGCATCAGAAACCCCTCCAGCCTGCCAGCCCCCCCAGAGGCCGTCCCTCACTCCCCAGCTCTGGCTAGGAAAGAGTCCTGTCCTGGGACCCCCCCAGGTGGTCCAGTTCTTTACAGGAATACAACCCACCCACTCTGGCCACAGCTCTTCCAGGACCTGGCCTTCCCAGGCCGTGGGGAGGAGGAAGTGTTTGCCCAAGTCCCTGAGAAGACCACAGCCTTCCTGCACGAACATGGCAGGGGACCCACACCAGGTCGGCCAAGGGACAGGGATCACCCCTGAGAGCCAATAAACAGTTACAGGGACTGGGGCCACTAAGCCAGGACCCAGGGCTCTACTGCCCTCCTTCAGACTGCAGGGAGGTCCCACCCCACACCTCTGAGCCGGGCTGGATCCAGGAGCCCCAGATAGAGGTTCATCAACTTACTAGCGACCTTGGCAGAGACCCAGCCCCCTTTCCCAATTGCACTGCTTTCCAAGGGTTCATCCAGGTTGGGGGGGACGCTCCTCCAGGTGCGTACCCCAGACTTACTCTGGCTTGCAAGCGCCGCCCGCCCCCTTCTCCCTCGCGCTCCAGATGAGCTAGGAGTCGGCGCCGTCCTGCCGGGAAGGTCCCCACCCACAGAGAGCCCACGACCCCTCCCCGCGGGGCGTCCTTCCACCTCCGCCGCGAGTTGGCTCGCGCGTCCCGGCGCTACGAGGCGTCCCTCCGCCGCGGGCCGGGTGCACACGCGGCAGGAACCCCCAGCTCCGGAGGCCGCCGCGGCCCGAGCCCGCGCGGTGCGGCGAGCGCGCACGGACCTACCCGCTCCACATCCCGGCGCCGCGGCGAGCTCCCTGCACCGGCCCGCGCCGCGTCCCCGCCCGCCGCCTGTCAGTCCCTCCGCGGCCCCCCCTTGGCCCCGGCGGGTCACGTGGCCGAGGGGGTGGTCCGAGGACACGTGCCCGGCCCCGCCCCTCCGCCGCCCGCCAGCCCCGGGACCGTGCGCTGGCGGGAGCTGGGGAGGAGCCGGCGGCCGGCGCGTCCTGCGGTCAGCGCCGCGCTCCGCCGCCCGCGGCTGACTCGTCTCGGATTCCCCGGCGCGGCGCGGGCCCTCGGCCACCGCTGCTCGAGAACCTTGGCGGACGGTCTCTTGGAGCCCGCCGACACCCACCCGCCGGCCAGCACTCCCCTTCCCCGGGCTCCCTGCTCTGTGCCGGTTCTTGGGCAACGTCCTGCAGGGTTGGGAAAGGGGCTAGACCCCAAAACAAGTTTTCTCGGGTTTACGCTGAGCGCTTATCCCAAGGGAAGACCCCTCCCTTTGGCCCAAGTCTTCAACCCCAGCCGTCCCCCAGCCCCACACCACCCCCACCCCGCAAAGGGGCCTTCCCCTCTTGTTTGGAACACTCCCTGACCCTCTCTTCCCTGCTTTTGCCCAACATCTCCTGTCTGGGGGAATGCACCCCCACCCTGCACACCTGTCTGGATTTAGGTCCTCTGCAAAACCTTTTCCTGCATCCCAGACCACTGGTCTTCCTGCCCCTTTATCCTTCCGCCCCTTTGTCACCGGTCTTGAGCCCTGACTACTGGCCTCAACTTCAGCCTGCAGCTGGATCCAGTGAGAGTATAGTTCTTCTCTCCTGCCAGGGACCCTGGCTCCCACCCTCCGTGTCTGGAGAGGCCTAGGAGGCCAGGAGGAAGGAGGTGCTTCCCTTCCAGATGCTATCAGAACTCAGGACACTACTCTTCTGAGCCCACAGAGCTAGGACCCCAGGCTTGAATTTGTCGGGTCTTCACTGGGGACACACATTTCTTTCATTCATCCGTTCATTCGTTCGTTCATTCGTTCGTTCATTCATTCATTCATTCATCCATCCCTTCTGAGCACTAACTGTGAACCATACAAGGGCTGAGATCCAAAGGGAAACTGCATAGACACATGCTCTGTCATCCCGGGGCTCATAAATATGGTAGGGAGACATACTCACAAGGACCTCCACTTCCAGGGCCGCTGCCCAGGGCACACTCTACTAAGTGCACGGTGTCTTTGTCACAAATAGAAAATGGTACTGCCTTCCTAGATGGGGACAGCCCATGCCAAGGTACAGGACTGGGTGAGTGGAGGGCAGGCTGGATTTCATGCCTTGCTTGCTCACTCCCTTGGCTGGCATCTTGTGCAGTAAACAACCTGGGCAGCCCACTGTGACATCCCTTCTGACTTACCAGAATCATTCTGCCGAGACCTCCAATGCCCTTCACTCTGCAGGGTAACTCTTTCTAAGACTGTGGTTTCCCAAGGGCAGAAACCATCTCCTTCTCAGTGCAGTGTTTCTATGCCTACCCCAGCCTAGTCCAGGGTCTGGCCCAAAGCAGATGTCACCATGTTTGTTGACTTGAATCCTACACCAAGTAAATCTTGAGCAACTGCTGTCTTCCTGGCCCTTGCTCTGTTCATTATTTAGGAGAAGGGGGAAAAGACACAAAAGGGGCTCAGGACAGGGCCCTTACCCTCCAAGACTTCACAAGCCTGGGCAGGAGATAAGACTGGTCCAAGTCATGGTAACCCAGACTGGTGGGTGGGAGATAAGGCATGGAGGTGGTGTCAGCCCGGGCTAAGGCCCCAGAGCAAGAGCCCTTAGCAGGACAGGGTAGCACCAGTGGGCTTAAGTGAGGCCTCCAAGGACAAATGTGGGGTCACCACTCTGCGAGCACTGATACCCGAATTACTACCTAAAAATACCACATCATCCATGCATCCAGTGACCTTCGATTGCCAAGCCTCACTAGCTTCTTCCACAGTACAGTGAGCTCTGCTCCTCAGCCAAAAAGGATCGGGCTCAGAGAAGTTCAGGAACCTACCTGATGTCACACAGCCAGGGGTGGTGCGGCTGTGACCCCTTACATCAGTTTTCTGAAAAGACAGCCCAGAAACTAGAGAACTCACTAGAAGCCGCAACTGTGTGCAGTCAGGCAAAAAGGGGAGCCTACTAGGGGTCTGGCCAGCAGGTGTGGAGGAAGAAGTAAAAGGTCAAGACCTCAAACGACTGCCGTTTGCCCGTCTCCCCACCATCCCCATCCCCGCCTGGCAGCCTTGACCACAGAGCCTCGGCTGGAAGCAGATGAGGAACAGGGAACGGCCAGCCTGGTTGACCCAGGCCCCAGTTCTGACTTAGGTCTGTCCTCCCATCCAAGTACTAACCAGGCCCGACCTTGCTTAGCTTCCGAGATCAGACGAGATCGGGCGCGTTCAGGGTGGTGTGGCCGCAGACTGACTTAGGTCTCTCCTCAGCTCTCTGCATGACCCAGGATGTTTGTCTTGCCCTCTCTGAGCCTCGGATTCTATGTCTATCCAACCACCAAGTTAGACAATCAGGGTCACGCATTGGCACTGACCTTGTAAGAGGCTCATGAAATTCCTCAGAGTTCCATGCCAGTCGCCTGTCAGGAGCCTGGCTTCTGCCTCCCTCCTCCCCCAGTGCCCCTACAGAATGGCAAGATTTCCCTCCCTCCCCTTCGTGACCGTGACCGAGGTCACTGGCTCACCTGTCTGTGTCCCAGGGCTCCTCTCCCAAGTTCCTCTCGAGTGCAGGGCCCAGAACTGATGGGGCGTAGCGGACAGCCCCTGAGCTCAGCGCCAGGAACACGGGGCATGGTCCTCGGGCAGGACACCTGGTGTGCTCCTTGGGGTCATCCATGCCAGGGCCAGCCTGAGGGTCCCTCTGGAGACTGCCAGGCAGGCAGGTGGCAGAAGCCTTCTCCCTCCCCTCCTCCCGCCCTCCCCAGGCTGAGCCTCAAGCTAACCTTTGCTATCTCTGAAGAGCAGGGCCTGGGACGAAGGGCCCTCCCAGCAGGCCTCTATCTCTCGAAACCCCATAATTATTAACTCCTGTGGCTCAGCGGGCAGCAGAAGGCACTGGGGGCCCTGCTTCCTGGGCTCTGGGCCAGGAAAGGTGAGACTCCCTGAAGGGTCGTGGGAGTTGTCCTCTGCATGCCCAAGGCCCAGCTTCCACTAGGGCCCAAAGGAGGAGCCACCTAACCCCTCCCTGCCCAGGTTGGCAAGTTGGAAAGACCCGTCCAGCCCAGGCTCTATCACTAGTTGGTTGTGTGGCTTTGGGCAAGGACCCCCGCCTGCCCCACATCCCGTCCTTGGCCTCAATATCCCCTTTAAAACTTGTAACCACCAACAAAAAAGCACAACTCAGCGCAGCAGTTAAGAACCCAGGCCCGGTGTCCGAGAGGCTGGATTCAACCCCATCCCAGACTATGAGCCTTTGGGCATGTTAGTCTCTCTGTGCCTCTGTTTCCCCAGCCATAATACGGAATCTCACTCTCTAAGGCACACCAGGCCAGCTGCTACTGCCCAGACATGCTCTACACCACCCCTTTCCTCACACAATGCCCTTGGCAGCACATCCTACCTCCTGCTGATAATTCCTCTTTTGCTTATACCTCCCCCTCCACCAGGAAGCCTTCCCCCGTGGATTGCTTTCCTGAGGGTGAAGCCCTCAGGCACGTGTCCACCTTGTGTCATGACAAGTAGAACCGTCGGACACCCCCACAAGAACTGAGTGACCCTGTGGGCAGAGGCTGGCCCGTGCTTACCCCCAAATCCTCAGTACCCCCTTGTCCGGGACATGGTCAGCCTCGGCCCAGTGGAATGGTTTGAAGGTTCCACCCTATCTCATTTGGCTTGAAGTCTAATCCTAGTTCTGCGGGTCCCTGGCTGTGTGACCTTGGCAAGTCACTTCACCTCTCTCGGACTCATTTCCCTCATCTGTAAAATGGGAACAGTTGTCCCCAGTGCAGTTGTGAACATCACAGCAGGCGACATCTGTGAAGAGTCTGCCACACTCGAAATGAGAGTGTCCTCCGCCTTTCTCCCTCGCCTCCCCTCTTCTTTCCTGTCAGCCTCTGACTGCCCGCGGGGGAGAAGCTTCCAGTTCCTGACTAGCAGTCACACCCCGCCAGCCCTGCCCTGCGGATAACAATATCTCCCACTCAGGCTTTGGGCTTCGAAACTCTCAGCTTAATGCAAACCAGATGCTGGCCTTGCCTTTCCTGGCAGTGAATTTTCCATGGCCTGCTCCCACCCCCTTCCTGTTTTTGCTCCTCATTGATACCCTGCTCAATTCTCCCGTGCCCCCACCTTCCTCTGCGGGGCAACCTCTGGGCCCACCTGGAAACAATTAATGGAAAACAGGAAGTATGAAAAGGGGGGAGGGCCCCCCATCACCCCAACATGGCAGGAGGGGAAGGAGCTCAGCCCGGCTGTCGACAGGGGGTTTGAGAGCGAGCCCCCCTCCACCCCCCCACCCCCCACCCCCCGCCAAGCACCAGCCTTCCCTCGGGGAGGAAACTGAGTCAGAGTTGCTCTGGGGACTGTACAGAAAAAAAAATTGCTACTCTCTGGACATTTAGGCAGAGCTGGGGTTTCACGGGGAGCTATAAGGGCCTTATGTCCTTGGCTGTGACTTAGAAAAATCAGAGCCAGAAGAGGCCCAAGTCCCTCCTGCTGCAGTTGAAGAAACTGAGCCTTGGAGGCTCGTCCAGGGTCACCAGTGAGTCACAGCCAAGAGGCAGCCAGGCCTGGGACTGCTTGCCAGTAACCGCGGCTCCCCGGAGTCACTTCCGGGGCTGGCTGTCCCAGCGGCATTCCCACTGCCCATCCCCCACAGCACGGCCGCGGGGCCCTGGGCGCCGTCAGTCACGAGGATGCTCACAAGGCCACCCGCAGCACCTGGCCAGGCAGACCTGGATCTTCCCCCGTGGGGCGGGCCCTGGGAAGGGAGGCCTGGGGCAAGCCCAGGAGTGTGGCTGTTGTGCGCTCTTCCTTTAT